AGAAGAAGAAGAAGAAGAGTCCACTCACACGTTTTGGATAGCAAACGGTGCCCCCTTAAGGGATCTTGTAAAGGAAATAAATGCTGTGAGATAAAAACCACAGACTTGATCGAGGAATTTGCTTATGCTAATCGCTTCCCCGGAAGAAGACATTGTATGTAATCTTGTGGAGGGTTAGGTTGCGATTGTCCTTTACCTAGGTTCGGGTGCTTATTCTATCGAGTTCACGCTATTCCCGAAAGAGATGAAATTTTTGAGCTATCGCGGTGTATAATGTGGCGGGAGCAAGTAAAATTAGACGTCATTATTGAACACAGATTAGAAAGCCATTAATTCGTTATCACAATAAGACCCAATGCCCCAATAACATTGAAAAACTTTACAATAACAATCACTCCCACCCTTACCTATCCTCTATAAAAAGTTCCTTTAAATGGATCAATTTTGCATTCTGGCGACCAAGACTAACTTTTACTCCACTGTAACTCTAGTGAGGCAGCGCGAAACCTTACATGCGATTTCCGCTACCACTGCTATTGCACTCCTGCAGAAAATAAAAAGGTGCGAATGCGGAGTTGTATCAGTTGGCCAAATTTATAACGATATCCTGCGAAAATTACCAGTAAACGCCGAAACAGTACGTTCTCTCAAATAAACAGTTTCCAAGTAGTTGCAAAATAACAGGACACAACTTCCTCCGAATTTATTATCAACTTCCAAGATACTGTAGAGGATACTCTACCAAGAAGTGCAAAAATATCCATGTTCAGTTGAAAATGCGATGCTCACAGGATGTTATCGCTGCTCAAAAGGAGCAGAGGCGACTATATCCTCCGAAGTCTTCACATTCCACACTTGGGGAAGTTCTATGCGATCGCGAGACCGTGTTTATTCAATGCTTCCCAAAAGGGGAAAAAAGCACCTTGCGACTCATGCGAAACTATGCGAGAAACCACATGAATTGCATCCCTACGATGTGCATCACTTAGTTATTTCGTGCTTTCGGGACTTTTGAAGTTTGTAGAAGCTTGGCACTATTCTGGAAAGGCGATATTACAAAGTAACCACTCCGCCTTTCACTCGTGGGAATGGCAAGATTTTTTCATATGACTGATATTCTTTTTTTTGGCGAAAACTATCCTTCTCTTAGGTTAATGGTCTTGCTTGCAATCGGGTTCGCAATTACATATCTGTACTTATCCAGCAACCCTGGCCTTCCTCATTCGAGGTTCGATACGAGCAGTCTTTTGGATACTCCTCAAAATTCCGGGGCGAATAGTGCGAGTGCTGATTGCATTTTTTTTGGCGACAAATTTGCGAAAATGTTCACAAAAAGCGAGGAAATTGCGAAAAGATTTTATGAAAAGAAACTTGAGCACTAATATGAATTTTGCAGAAAATCGTGACCCGAACATCGACCTACGACGCGCTAAAACAGAACTTAAACGGCCCAAGTCAGCACTTCCGACATTTCCATCTCCTGATCAACTGTACAATGAGTAGCTCACTATTGTAGCGGAATTATGTATCTGTTGAGCTTATTGACAATGTTAAGATAGACATTACTTACTTTTTCCATAATAATGATCCATGGAAGGGACTAGAGCGAGACCCCCAAATCAAAGAATTGACTGTCAAAAACTATTACTTGCGATTGCGAGGTCTGAGACAGTATCTCTCTCTCTTATTCTCTTCCGTCCCGGTCAAGATTGCGACAAAAGCTATGTCACAAATGCATGGCAGTCCTATACGACAACCCCCAATACTACAGAAGCAAAGTGGATACAAGGTACCACTTCTCAGGGAGCAGAGCGAGATAGAATGTATTCTGAGTGATCACGAGGAAACCATAGAAGAATAGTTCGCAGAGTTGAAAGATATCCGAATGCCTTTGTCAAGAGCGTCATCGAGAAGACATTTCTGCGAAAATAAATATGCAATGCGCTTGAAACCCTCAATGAGCAGTTCACCAACTTACGAGAAATCCTACAGCAGGATCGCGCGAAGATGATCATGGAGGAAACGCAAACCGATGATGTACCTCTGATGCCGATGGACGTTGAAGTGATCCAGGAAGACATTGACAATGTCGAGCGAGAAGGCGAACAGGCAAGAATTATGGATAACGCTGAATACATGGAAGCGATATAAGAAAATGCCGAAGAAGTTGAGCTGCAAGAAAATGAACAGATCTTGGAGGATACTGCACTTCTAGAAGGGGAACTGGCCCTAGTCCAGAGAAGACTTCACGAACTTTCGAGAGAGCAAACCTGCCGTCCACGCAGTTATGAAGTCGGAGTGGACCGTGATGAAAAAATATGCCATGTGCGTTTTGCATTGTTCAGGTCTTCATTATTCTGATTCGTGCAGGGAAGTACCAACTCGTAGCAGCGCGACAAGAATCTCTTGACAGAAAAAAGCAGTGCACGATGTGCTTGGAAGAGGACTGCGAGAAGGATTCTACTTGCCGAAAATATGGACAACAGTGTCACTACTGCAAGAAAACATGCCATGCATCAGCAATATGCTTACTTCTGGAAAGATCACTAAGGATTGCCGAAGAAAAGACGCGACTCATTCATGCAACGGAAGACCTTATGGAACAGTTGGAAAGTCTGCGAAATTCACTTTGAAACGTCATCATGCGAAATGTGCGATACATCGTCTGCAGTACTTTTGAGGCCGGCAGTATCGCGGAATCCGCGAGTTTGTGCAGAGGAGAAGTTTCAGCTTGTTCCCACAGCGGAAGTTATGAGTTCGTGCAAAGGGATAAATTCCAATACGTCTCCCACACTATCAGATCTCTTATCTTCTTATGTTTCTGCTGTGGCTAAGCTGAAGAGCATTATCGGCATAACTTCAAGGGTGATGTTGTGAGAGGACGTTCAGAGCTCTCTGAAGCACAGTATAAATGCTCGCGGATCAGAATAAGCCGTCGTGTTCTGCTGCAACTCCTCTCTTTTGCGAGCGTCCCTTTGCGAGCGGGGGGCATCCCTATGCGATCTAGCGACAAACCCCTCTTTGCGATACTCTCCTTTCCTCTCTAGCGATGCGACTTTCATCTTTTCAACCTTTTTGAATCTAGGAAGATTAGGGCGACGCTCATGGGTTAAAGCAACAATCCAGGAACGAATTCGCGGGTAAGGACCACCTATAATGACGTTGCAGGTGAGAAGTTGGTCAATGGAGAAAGAAAAAGTAGAAAAAAACGTCGGGCAGGGGCTTAGACAGGGACTCCCCCTGCCGTTTAGGGAGACGTGTGTTGGACGAGTTGTCCGAACCTGCCCGTAGTACATGCGCTCCAATTGCAACTGCTGGCAAATAGCCATGCATGCTTGCAAATACATAACTATTTGCCAGCAATCGAAATTGAAGCGCTTCAATTGCGTTCTTATGGAATCGACCTCATACAGCGCGGCGGTCCCGCAACGACCGCTAGTCGAGCACGGACTCTGCACAGCGTATGTTGAGCGATCCGCCTCGGTATGGGTGATCCGCCCCCTCCAAGAGGACTTCGACCCCTTCCAGCGCATTTTAGAGGTAGGTTTTGAACTTAAAGACATTTCCTATAAACTTTAGTTGGGCTGGGGCATGTTTTGACCGCCTAATGACCAAGTAGTTGAAACCCTGCCTGGACTGTTGCTTTAAAGGATTTCAGATTCTATTTAGGTTCGATTTTGCTCATTGTCACATAGTTTTTTCATGTGGAATACCGATTTTATGTCGTACATGTGATTTAAGGTCACAAATACTAAATTAAAGTTTAATTACCCGAGTTTGAGGTTTTGCACGACCAAACAAGTTAACCGCGTGGCAGTCAAAAGGACCAAGAAGGCCCTATTATTTTTACGAAGCATGGTTCATTTTGCAAATCCCCTTTCATTTCCAGCCTTCCTTGGGAAAACTATTCACATTTACATCCACTAGCGCTTGCTGTCAAATATGTCTTTCGCGGAATTGCGAGTGTGCAGCTGACGAATGGCTCTCAGGGTCCCTTGAGGATATTCGAACTTTCAGAACGGAAATTGCCTCATAGCCATCGACGGGCACACGTTGCTGCTGCTTAGTGGAGGCAACGACAACCCCTGTAAGAATAAGTTACTCCAGCTCACCCCAAGAAAACGACGAGTGCGCGGCTCTCATTCAGGCGCTCAGAATAATTGAATAAGCAGCGCCTCGAGCTGTGTGCGCGTTCCAGGGTGCACACAATTACGTTCGTGTGTTTACACGAGTCACTGCTGCCGAGCATGCCAACGGACGGGAAAGCTTCGCGTTTAGGTTCAACCTGTGCGCTGCATAGAGCCAATGGTTCCCTGCTACTCACTTCTTTTTGTCCTGTTTCAGGCTCACAACCATCACGCCGTTTCAACTTCGTGCGAGGCTTGGACCAGTGACGCAAAAAAGAAATGAACACGAAAGCGCTTGAGCAGAAGTTGTCGGCTTTCCAAAATTGGGTTGCGCAGCGCTTCCGAAAACGCCTATATTGTTCGTCGATACAGTACCGAAGCAGCATCATGAAAAGAAGTAAACTCAGGGAGTACGCAAAGTTGATGAAAAAATTTTCAGCACAGCACCAGTAGATAGTTCGCAAGGATTCAAGCTCATGACGCCCTAGAAGAAAACTAAAACTATCCATTTTTGCAAATGAATAGTGCGAATTTCCATCTCGCCTCATTCATAAAAATCTTTGCCATTTTGGTCAGTCAAAGACAAATGCTAGTGAAAACAACGCTTCCCTTGCTGATCGAAGGTCAAAGAGTTCTCGAGAATAGAGAGAATAAGAATTATCAAGAATTCAAAAAAGGTGCTAACTTAGTTGGGGGGGGGGCCACGCGGCGGCGCGGCAGTCTGCTCGCCTGGCATGTTCGGAAATCCGTGGGCCAGGGGGAGTGTAGGCAGTCTAGGGGGTGGGGGGTGGGGCAGTCACTTGACATGCGTGAAAAGCTGGAATGTTCGAGTTTACACTGTCTCGCTCGAGAGAGCCCAGGTGAGCAGACTGCCGCGCCGCCGCGTGCCCCCCCCCCAACTAAGTTAGCACCCAAAAAATTCCATAATCTAATTGGATGCTTATTCCTGCTAATTCTGTGTGATATTATACACTCATATCTCCACTATATGAAGTGAGAACAACATACAACTTCCTTTCGTTTTTGGGCTTCAAAAACGAGTCTGGTGGGATTGCGTGATTCGATTGCGAATTACGGCGGTTGCTTTTACAAGCTTGTGAGCGCAAATCACAATGGGAAAGCGGCTCATTGGAACCAAAAAACGGCTTGAACTCGAGAAATGGGATCCATCCTGGCTCGGTACTTTCCACATTGAAGCGATCATCGATGCTGTTTTCATCAATGCTAGTGCTCTCGCTGCTAAACTCTATCAGAGCCAGGGAATGGCCGGTCGGTGGGTTGGCAGCGGTGCATGTGCGGCCCTGTGGGCGCTGGGGTAACTGTCGCCGCGAAATGCGCATGGTGTCATTCCTTGGGGGGACCCACCTACCTCTCGACTCGGTATATTTCCCTACTTTGACCTCCGACCTTATCGTCTACCCTCCCTCTGAGGAAACGCACACAAAGACAGCTTCATACTCTTTGTCTAAAAACATTAGCTTGTAGCCATTTCACGAGAGAGAAGGGCCATAAAAAATTGGGCGCGTTTTGGTAAACATTTCGCAACGAAAGAGTATGGTTACGTTTTAAATTCCCACCGTACATTGGCGGCAGGAGAGCATCCGCTTGGTTTCTTGAGGGATCGTCAGAAGAGCTTTTCAGCTTTCCCACCTATGGAACAACATCTTGCTTCTTTATTGCATTACCGATTACCAGTTATTGATCTATTTACAGAACAAGTGAGCTATGAAGCAACAACCCCAGATGAGGTGGTGTCGAAGGATCTATTCTGTAGGTGGGATAGAGTAGCCCACGAGTATCACAGAAGTGCCGTTGTCGCGGCTTGAAAGTGCGCGACAATGGCCTTAAGGCTTTACAAAGTGATGGGACAAACATGAACTTACGGATGGGATACACGCCACACATGACACGCAACGTGGTTTACGGCGGAGCAGCTAATCGAAATACGGACGGGTTAATTGAGCCATGGAGCAAACAAGTTCGAACAACTCGTGGAATGCCACTCCCTCATTATAAGAAAGAAATATAGGGAGTCATTGTTCAATGGCTCCATAGGCAGTTTACTTTGCTTTTTCTCATTTTCACTCGATACGGCATCCAGAGTTTCATTATCGACAGTTGTTACCCCGCTAATTTGATCAGGGGTTGTTGCTTTAATTTGATTCCATGGATGCGCCGCCTGATTCATACTCGCCCCTCAGCGTGCTGCTTTCTCAGTGCCTCTTTGAACCCGCGCAATCGTACAATCATGATTTCAGTCGAAATTTCGGTTTGCGGTTTTCTAAGGCTTGTCTCTTTTCGGAATCTCAGTTTTCACATATGAAATTTTGTAGGCCCTTCCAAGTGATCGCCAATAGCACTTTTATGTGTGAAATGGAAGGAGCACATATTTCCGTGGACGAGTCCTCAAAACTATAGACATTTATTCTTGAAGTTCACCCACCATTTCGTAAGTCACCGAAAATGAGCTCAGCTGTCAAGGTATCCTTCTTGAAAATGTCTTGCAAGAGATGACAGATAGAGGGGGAGCGGAACCACTAAGCTTTTCAGACTATAATTTCTCACTAAGCCTTCC